GTAATAGCTTCAGCCGCGTCGGACTGATTATAGTGAGGAAGGAAATGCTGTAGGTACTAGTCGTTATACGACTGACTGCTAGGATTGAGCACGAGAACACAACGGTACGAGTAGGCCCTCTAAAGAGACATAGTCGAAACACTCAGCCGGAATTAAGGCGGGGGTTGTGGCGTCTTTAGTTCCTTAGCGGTTATGAACAGATGCTGAGTGGTGGTCATTAAGGGATATGAATACTGCAGACTGGACTAGATTCTGCAAAAATACAGCCTCCTATTTGCACCCACAATATCGAGATTCTAGCCGATGGGACCACCAGGCGCCTGTAACTACGCATAGAAGAGACTTCAATGACACGGTTGGTATAAGGGGCTCGTTAAGAAGTACCAGTACAGCTTGGCCGTCTGGCCGAAGAAAGACCGAGTTTGGTAGGGCAATTTCTGGCTGAGTAGCCATCATCAGCTAGCCATACCCAACCTCAAGTTTTGCGCCAGCCGAGACTCGAATCTGTGGCCCGTTTATTAGAAGTCTGACATGGCCTAGATATAAAACCTGTGTATTCACACAATGATCTCTTAACGCGAGTATTTTTGAAATCAACGTTGTTGTAGAAAAACAACAGAACAAAATATCATAATACGGTGGAGCGTCGGGTTACGAGCAACGCCATCTTAGAGCATTCCAGGTAACAAGCGAGCCACTCGCAGAAAAATTGTTTCGATTGACGAGCTTTCGCTCAGTTAACGAGCTGGCAGTGCATGTGTGTGTGTGTGTGCCTGTGTCCGCCGTTGACTCTTGCCCCCAGGGCGTGGGTCCTCTGTCGCCTGCAGCCAATCAATGATCTCATGCAGTTTGATTGGTTATAATTCGCAAGACGAGTGTTTTACATTACGAGTTCGATGCCGGAACGGGGTAAACTTGTTAACCGAAGATCCAATGTATTGGTAATATTTTAACAGTGAAGGTGCGGTTTTCGAGTGCTGGACTTCTAACCCACAAGTTGCGGGTTTGAGCCTAGGGTGGTAAAACACTTGAGTTTGAATAACGACGACTAATAAGCCAGAAATAATCGTTCTGGTCTTTTTTTCCTTTTTCGGTGCCTCCTTATCTGTATGTACTTCTACTACTCGTTATACGACTGACTGCGAGGACTCTGAACTGAGCGCGAAGGCATGACGAGGAAAGCAAGTCCCCCAAACTAGACATAGCCCAGACAGATCTTTCGGCGATGTTTCTGCTGCTGCTGCACTATGCAACTGCGAATGTCCGCTTATTGCTGGGTCATCCAACATTCTTTATACGGTTTCTAGTACTAGAGAGTAATAAAGATAACAATTTCAAAAAATATTAGGGGTAAAAAAACGGGGTTAAGCGGCCGGAACGTGACTTTTTAGGCACAGACTCAGCAGGCTCAGCAAAAAGTGTGTTGAATTCTGAGAGAAAAGACAAAAGTGCACGGCGAACAGGATGTCAGCTGAGTGACAGGGCCAACTTACTGAGTATAATGTTGACAACAGCAAAGGTGATTATGTAGCAGCAGTAGACGGCAACAGCATTGATGAAGACGGTAAAATAGCGGTAATTCCGCTTTCCAACGCAGTTCCCAATCCACGGACAGTGGTGGTCAAATCGCTCTAAAATAGGGATGAGGAAAGTGTTAAATAAGGCCGCATCGATTAGCCGACAACAACAAACCCGGACACACGGTCCACTCACAAAACCCCCCCTGCCCCTCGCTCTCACACAGAAAAAACGCTTGTACGTGTACAAAACATTTATGCCCATCACCATCATCCTCATCATTATCGTCATCACCACTACTACTACTACTACCATCACCATCATCACAGTATTAACAGCAAAAGCAGCAGCAGCAGCAGCATCACAACCATCCTTTCCTACTAATACTACCACCACCACCGCCATCATCCTCATCATGGTTATCATCATCATCAACAACACTACCATCATTACTACTGCTAACACTACCACCACCATTACACCACAAACAATAGCAGTATCCTCATCATTATCAACACCACTACCACCACTACTACTAACACTACCACCATCACATCACCAGCAGCAGCAGTATAATCATCAGCACTACTACCAACAGTACTATTACAAGTAGGTATTTATGCACCGATCTGTTTCAGGATGCACCCATCCTGGTTGATCCGATTGCAAACCGACAAGACGGCGGACTTGTGGCTCAATGGTTAGAGCGTT